ATATATGTATTATATAAATATATATATATATATATATTTATATATATAGATAGATAGAAAGATAGATAGATAGATAGATGGATAGATAGATAGGTAGATATATAGATAGATAGATAAATAGATAGATAGATAGATAGATAGATAGATATATAGATAGATAGATAGATAGATAGATAGAGAGATAGGTTGAAGAGCATTGACAAATATATTCAGCTCCTGTTTTGTTTTGACATTCGAGTCAGAGTCCTTTTCGTTTTTTGAGAAGGCTATGCATTCAAGTACATTTGCCATCTCGCAATATTCTCATATTTTAAACCGGTTTTATTCGTGCCTTGAGTAGTGATATAAAAGTGAACAATTTGTATTCGTCTGCGCACAAAGTTCATTTGCAGTCTCTAACTCTCTATACAGTAAATATACACGGTATAATTTTGCGTACGCATATATATATATTGCACTTTTATTACTGAAGCGTAAGCTTTTCTAATACGTCCCAGTCGACTTTATCCCCAGACTCCAATTTGTTTGTGTAAATTAAGTTTTTCTTTTTAAAAAAAAAGCAAAGACACACAAGAGGCCCGACCCCCTTGGAGTCCCTGCGGAATATTTTACCAATATTTAAAACCGTGAATATGAACAAAATGAATTACTCTTCTGAGTTTACACTTTCAGTCCCCACGGCGTCCCAGCCGTGTTTTATTACGATATTTAGTCAATTTCTATAAGTTGATTAGTTTGACTGTGCAGTGTGCACTGATCCACACTCATATTTTAGAAACTATCTTAAATATATCTCAGCAAAGTGTGAACAGTGAACACCAAACTGAGAACAGAGTCCAGAAGTCCAGAACTGCAGATAAATATCAGATATGAAAATTGAAATCACCAGGGAAAAAAAACAGTGATAGAAAACAAAGGAACAAATAACAATGTGGTTATGATGGTTTAAGGTATTAGGTATAAGATCCAATCACAGTGCGTATGGTTGAATTTGTATGTGCGATTTGTCGATAGTCCTATAGTTGCCATAGTGTTCAAATGTTCATCAAGTCCAATTTATACTCAGTACTCCAATTCAGATTTGAAAAAAGGCATTTGTTTTTGATTTTTGTTTTGAAAAAACCCTCCCAACACAAACCTATATTTGTTGTTGTTAACTTTTGTTTTGTTTTTAAAAAAGCAAATACAAAAGGGGGGGGGGTGTCAAAGTAAATATTTACAGTCAAATGCACAAACACACCAATCAATGGAGTCGGCGCCAATTGCACCTTTGTTTAACCCATAAGTATGCCCATTAAAACTTTTACATTGTCTCCCGCAGTCCGACTCGAGATTAGCAGATAGATTTTGTATTAGTTGTTGTTTTTTAAAAACAAAAAAAAACAACATAAAAAATATTGAAAAAAGCCATTTTATTTGATTTGTTTTGAGATAACGAAATACAAACACAAATTGAAAAAATATGGGTTTTTTCAAAAAATACATATATATGTATTTATGTATTTTGCATAGCCTGGACGCCCTGACCCCTGAAGCCTCCTAAAAAGAACATAAATATGTACATACATAGTCCTAAAAAATATGTATAGCGTACAATATTCCGGATTTGCCGGCCTACGCCCGCCTCACGTCTGTAGTCTATTTAAGTGCTGCCACAGTTCCTTGTATGGAGTGAGCGTGATGGCAAACGACTGTTTGTGCTGTGGAACAGAGGCCGCCGTCGTGCGGACATGTACGCCGCGGATGTTAAAGCAAACAAAGAAGAAAACAACGCATCAGCAACTGTTGCCGAAACTGCTGCACCCGCTACGGAAAGCCCTCCGCTGTTGAGTGGTGGGGTTTGAATCAGACATGCATATATACCTACACGGTACAGTACAGCAGTAACGAGAACGCATGATCCAACGCCTCACAGCGCCAACGAGACTGGGAAAAGTCAGCACCTCAATACAGATACATAGAATTGAACAACATATACAAGATAAATATATAGAGATAGGCATATAATTGTGGTTATTTAATATAATTGTAGATATTTAATCGTATATACAGACGACATAGCAAATATATACACCTTGAACTAATATAAATATATAACGAAAATATACAAAATAAAAATACGAGTTACATATCATCCAGAACAAACAAATGGGGTACATACATCACCCATAATAAATAAATGGGGTACATACATCACCCAGTATAAACAAATGGGTAACATATATCACTCAAAATATGCAAATGATTTACACACATAGCCCAGAATAAACAAATGGGCTACATATATAACCCAGGATAATCAAATGGGCTACATACATTACCCGGAACAAACAAATTGGGTACGTAAATCACCCAGAATAAACAAACGGGGTACAAATATTCCCCAAAATAAACGTATGGGTTACATATATAACCTAGAAAAAGCAAATGGGATACATATATTACCCGGAATAAACAAATGGGATACCCCAAAATAAACAAATGGGGTACATATATTGCCCAAAATAAACGTATAAGTTACATATATAACCCAGTATAAGCAAATGTGATACATATATCAGCCGGAATAAACAAATAGGGTACATATATTACCCAGAATAAGCGAATGGATTACATATATTAACAAGAATAAGCAAATGTATTTCTTAAGGAGTCAGCAAGTACAGCACTAGACGCAAGGCTGCGAGAAACGTTTATACTGACGCGCCAGTTCTGTAGGACTGAGCGGTGCCATGACGCCCTCGGGTATTATACTGAAGTAATGGAGTGAGTGATTCTTTATATACAAAATTATACATGAACGGACGGGACGGGCAACAGTTCCATCCTTCACACTACAAGCGGATTTGCACCGCAGTCGTCGAACGGGTAACCTCTTAAGAGAAACTGGACCTGCACATGGGGCAAGTAGAGCCCCCACTCGACTGAAACCATTGGTACAAGCATTTGGAATGGAACTTCTTGCGGCATGTGCGACACCGTAGTTTGGGCAGTTGGTAATTGGACCCGTGAATAACCTGCGCCCGGAAATGAACATAGGACAGGCATGGGCCATGTGAGCAAGTAAAACATAGAATGAATCAATATCATAGGATGATTATGCGTGCACAAGAAAGCCTAGATGGGCGGGCCATAACAGTATACATTTGATGGGTGGATTGGGTGGTACATACAATGGCACGAGCAACGAAGTGCAGACTTTACGCGTACGGTTGCATGCGAGTACGCAAACGTATATACATATACATATATATGCCATATCTTGTTTTTACATAAGACCACTGCAATACGTATACGTATGTGCGCAATCATGGAACGCAGCGCACACCAGAACACCACACAGCGACCATGGCTAAAACCCCTAAACCCTAGAGCCTTAAAACCCAGCCACTCACACCACCCACGGCACATCCACTGCGGTGCAGCCATTGCACAAACACCAAATGAAGACAAGATAACAGGCATTAGAATATCAAACTATCAATAAGTTATGTGCGCACCTCCTCAACATGGGGCCGAAGTACTTGTGTGGCTTATTCCGTTTAGGTTTTAGGGTTTAAGGTTTAGGGTTTTACAGAGACGCATCGCGTTACACAAAGAACAGGGCCCAGATACCACACACAGAGAAAAAGAGACAAGTGCATGTCAAACAAAACATAGCAGGCAATGTGTAGGCACATACCGAATAGCAAACGGTGCACTCCTCGACGCCATCGTAACGTTTGTCAATGTTCGTCTTCCACATCTCCACCGCGTCGAGGATGGACCCGTTCTGTAACCATGACAACGGCAAACGCACATTAACAGAGAGCGGAAGGGCTCAAGTGGTATTTTTCATTGGCAAAGGTAGATACAGACACAAAAGAGTTACAGTGCAGCCACTGCGGTGATCAATGTTTCAGGACAAATCATATAGGCCATGTGTCCACCTGACAGACAAGCAAGCACAGCAGGTGCCCATATATATATATAGATATATATACATATACATATACATATACATATACATATACATATACATATACATATACATATACATATACATATACATATACATATACATATACATATACATATACATATACATATACATATACATATACACATACCTATACATATACGTACACATATACATATAATGTCTGCTTGCAGAATTCAGTAGATTTTCCATGATACGGTCCACATAGGTGATCAGACGCGTTATCAGAGACGCATGAATCACACACACACCTGAGACGAGAGGAACGTTGTCATCTGAAGCATCCAGCGACGGTACGATTTAATGCCCATGTCAGAGGGACTGTCCACAGACACCATTCCCAGTGGATAGTTGGCCGGCAAGCGGATCACCACTTCCAAGGCAATCTCATCCACTGTGTGTAGGTAGGGAGGTAGATGGCAATAAGAGCCAATCAGAATGTTTAGATGTTGAAGCATTGGAGTGGGTATATTTTCATCTCTTATATAGTTCACATGGCATGGTGCGAGCACACGCAACCACACAAATACACACCAACACATGTGGTGTTTTATACAGAAAGAAAGGATGTGTTCTGTCATGACAATATCGTTGACTGAAATTTTATCTACAGTACAGAACCCACTCTGTAACTAAAACGGTAACCATAGAACACGCACGTATACATACAACTGGCCGTCGATAAACACTCATATATATACGAATATACATCATATACATATACATATACATTTACATATACATACACATATAGAAACAGGACCTACAATTGTAATAGGCGGTGACTTCCTTGGTAACTGTGCTGGCTTTGAGTGTGAGATCTAAATGGGAGCTACTGGCATTAGCCGCCGCACTGATCTCCTGCGCTATGAGCATCGGCGACACCACCGTCTGGGAGTACCGATCTACCCTGTCCCGTGCCCCTCGGGACAGATCATTGTACCACAACCGGGCCAATGCGGGCAGGTGCAGCAACGTCTGATAGTACACATGGGCGGCCAATAGACTGATGCCCTCGACCTCACTGGTCTCAATACTACTACTACTACCAACACCACCACTACTGCTGCTGTGGCCATTGACGGATGCGCCGTCTGTGGCATTGGTGTGTGTGGGCTGTGGCTGTGGCTGTGGCGACGGGGTGTGTGTGTGTTGTGCGTGTGTGTGGTGTGTGTGGTGGGTGTGTGTTGACTGTGTTTTGTCTGGGGCTGTACCGTATGTTCTATTGATTTTGGCGCTACCGCGGTCCGACCGCCGCAGATTGCACACGTCGAAGTCACGCAGCTGTGGATGAGAATAAGCGGATGAGTCATGGCAAACAATCAATGCGCATGGGAAGACTACTCAACACTAAACACCCAACACCCAACACGCAAAAGCGAATGAGTCATGGCAAACAATCAATGCGCATGGGAAGACACCCGACACCAAACACACAACACACAACACCAACCACCAAACACTCCGCACAGGCACACCAACACATGGGCAACAGCAACCTATGCACACGTAACCACAGGGATGATACTATGCACAGGCAACAAATGACCGTAAACGTATGTGCAGAAACATGCGACGGAGATACAGAGAAACGTACACACACAGGGAACACGCAATGCTCAGACACGTGAGGGTATTAACAGAAGCACAGGTACTACATCCACCCCAACCACACCACACTGTAAACTATCGATCACCATACACCAACACACGTGCACATATACATTTCGCATATGCGCAGTCATACACACACACACACGGACGTATACGTATGAATGGGCATATACGAAATGCATATATGCACCGAAAGCCATTGCATGCCCACCAATCGTCATTCATACACGAACACACGTGCATGTACACTTGCAACTCCACATATACACATATACGCATTGAAATACGTTCCCATCATCTGCACGCTCTGAGATATCACATAATGATAATACATATAGATATCATATAATAAATATACATATGCATATCATATAATAATTCTACATATAGATATCATACAAAAATTCTACATATAAATAAGACATAATAACAAGACATAGATATTATATAATAATAAGACATATGCATATCATATAATAGTAAGACATGTGCATCAACACGAGCAAGAGTCATTCAAGTGTGCTATGATACACACACACACACATATATACATATACATAAAACAATACACACACACACACATACACACACATACACACACATACATACACTCGCACACACACACACATACATACACTCGCACACACACACACACACAAACACATACATTCACATGCATACACACTCACACACACACACACACACACATACAACACGGTGCATGTACATTCACAATCACATGTTGACAACACCTCTCTCTACGCCCCCCCACATCCACTGCCACTCACCTTAGCCGCGTGTGTAGCGATGGCGTTTGCATTGCGTGTCACGTGGTACGGTAGCAACTCAGCCACGGCATTCAACAGCGTCGTCACTTCACCTGACACCCGCAGAGCCTCTGCATAGCCCACACGCACCGCAGGAGATGCGCTGTCGACGTATCGTAGCATCAGCAACCACCCCAGCAGATAGGACCCCCCGGCACTCGTCCATGGGGACGCCTGCGGTGTGGCGGTGTACCCTTGTAATTGTGTGTGGGTGTGTGCGTGTGCACTGGCTTTAGTGCCAGGGGTAGGCGTGGTGCCTCGTCGGCTACCCACAGTCTCTGGGGGTGGGCTGGTGAGGTGTCTAGAGGATACACTCTTTAACAAATCCCGCACATCTCCGCCCTTTCTGTCCGTGCCTGGCTGTGTCCGGGGACTTCCTTGGGTCTCTGGGGGTGGGCTGGTGAGGTGTCTAGAGGATACACTCTTTAACAAATCCCGCACATCTCCGCCCTTTCTGTCCGTGCCTGGCTGTGTCCGGGGACTTCCTTGGGTCTCTGGGGGTGTGGGTGCGTTGCTAGGCGTGGTGCTCCGCGAGTGGCTGGTTGCTATGGGCGAGTGTGTTTGGAGGAAATCTAGCAGCGCTTGCCTCGGAGCGATGGGGTTGGATGTGTCAACCTCCTCAACAACAGAGAGATCACTGTGGGAAGCAATGGACTATTAGTACTATCACAGCCCAACACCAGGCAGCTACTACAGATAACAGACACCTCACTAGGCACAAGGTATGGCAAGGGCAGGAGGTAGAAGTATCGCACTAGATGAGGTTCACGTAAGTATACTATGTTTGGTAGCAGTGGCCAAATACTAATTGACAGTTAACACTAAGCAAACTATGTTTATAAGCAGTGGTCGTATACAAATATATACTTCACACTAAGTAAACTATTTTTATAAGCAGTGGCCGTATACAACTAGGCAATTGAGACGAGTCTTACAGTGCTGTGGTTGGTGATAGCCAATTTGGTTTGCATGGCCTTGGCCTTAGCCTTAGCCATGCAAACCAAATTGGCTATCACCAACCACAGCCCTGTAAGACTGCCAAGGCCAAGGCCAAGGCCAAGGCCAAGGCCAAGGCCAAGGCCAAGGCCAAGGCCAAGGCCAAGGCCAAGGCCAAGGCCAAGGCCAAGGCCAAGGCCAAGGCCAAGGCCAAGGCCAAGGCCAAGGCCAAGGCCAAGGCCAAGGCTAAGGCTATGGCTAAGTGATTCTCGTCATAGAAGAAGTGGCGCCAAAGGACTACAGAGTGGACGTCCAATCAAAATGACCGATAGGATACGCCCACAACTGCAGGTACCAGTAGCACACTACAGAACATCCCTTGCAACCACGCAATGCGAGGTCTGAGAAAAATACCTACTAACACCCTAAAACCCACAAAAACCTATACAAAAGATATACCCACAGATACCCACACACACACACTCACGCTGAAGTTTAGTACACTTACTCCTGCGACGACATCAGCGTCTCCAGTTGATGCGTGTGCAGAGTGGCCAGATCCGTCTCTACTTGTCTGTCCAGCAGCAGATAAACCGCCAACTGAGTAGGTAAATGCTCGCATCCTAATAAGGCCATTGTCCTGGCCATCAGGTCCTCGTACTTGCACACGGACGAGGGCAGGGTGATGTTTGTGTCTGTGAGCAGCGGTAGGCCTAAGGACGGTGCGTCGGCTCCATCCACTGTTTGCGCAATGATAAAGTCAGCCACTGCTTCATTGAGGATACACCTGGGCCACGTGGGCAACAGCTGCGCACGGGGCAGGGGCAGCGGAAGGAAGGGAGGGCACGGGTGAGAAGACATATGTGAACAAGCACAGGGCGCAAACAGGGGGATATATATATTTATATGTATATATATATATATATAGTATAATATATATATA